TCATATATAGTGTATATCTATACAATGAAATACTACTCAGCCATAAAAAGGAATGACTTAATGGCATTTGCAGCAATCTGGATGGGATTGGAGACCAACGTTCAAAATGAAGTAATTCAGGAATGGAAAACTAAACATCATATGTTCTCACCCATAAGTGGGAGCTAAGCTATAGATTGCAAGGGCATGAGAATGATACAATGAACTTTGGTGACTTGGGGGAAATGATGGGAAGGAGGTAAGGGATAAAAGGGTACAAAGTGGGTTAAATGTATACTGTTAAGTGTATACTGTAAGTGTTAAGTGTATACTCGTCGGGTGATGGGTGCACAAAAATGTCACAAGTCACCAATAAAGAACTTATATAGAAACAAAAATTATGACAGCTATAATTTCCAAAGTGATTGTATTAGGTCCTGCACACTAGATGCATAGGATCTGGGATTTAGGATGTATCAGTCCAGATTCAATTTAAAGAAAAGAATGCTACTTGTATTAGATAGCATTTGCTACAGTAACAAACACCCTATACATCTTAGTAGCTTTTGGTCATACATATTTTCCCCCTATGGGTCTGTGTGTTGCTAGTGGCCATTCTAGGCTCAGCTCAACTCCACATTTCTTGTTGTTCTGAGTCCCAGTCTGAAAGTACAGCATGAGCTGGGTTATGCAAGTCTCAGGCAGAGGGGAGAAATGTGAGAGTTTCTGATGAACCATACAATTCCAGACACTCACATCTCATTGACCAAAGCATATTTCATGAGCAAGCCAAAGTCAATGAGAGGTGGATACATATTCTTCCTCCTGAATGCACTGGGAAGTCACATAAAAATGAATGGGGATTTATAATCCTAGAATAGGAAGGGAGTGAATTTCTGGGAACAACAATACAATACCCACTGTATTTTAGCACAAGGGCATTTATTATATGGAATTGGGTGTTCACAAAACTGTCAGAAGTGTTGAAGACGTAGGATCTAGGATTGGGTCTGTATCATCTTGTGCCTTTAGAAAACAGCACCCCACAAGGAGACTGAAACAGATGCTGAGTGCAAATTTACTCATAACCACAGCAAATTAATTCCTGGAAAGAATCCTATAAGGTTGGGATGAATCTCCTGAAGCTGCTGATGATCAGTAGAGCAATCGGTTAAAGAAGCTCTCACCTGTGTCTCTTCTTTCTTTTACAGGTCTGAACATGCATTGGCTGCGAAAAGTTCAGGGACTTTGCACCCTGTGGGGTACTCAGATGTCCAGCCGCACTCTCTACATTAATACTAGGCAACTGGTATCCGTGCAGTGGGGCCACCAGGAAGTGCCGGCCAAGTTTAACTTTGCTAGTGATGTGTTGGATCACTGGGCTGACATGGAGAAGGTAATGGGGTGGAAAAGAGGCACAAAGTGAGACAATTAGGTTGACTTTTAAAATTCATCCGTTAATTCAGTAAATATTTGTTAAGTACTTATTACATGAAGGGCACTGTAATATGCTATGGACAAAACACTCATCTTCCATGAAGGCAGTAGAGTATGGGAGAGAGACTGCATGAGCTTGGAAGGAAGAAAGGCATAGGAGCGTGGCAACCCGGTAACTCTCCGACAGCCAACACACAGTTTGTTTACACTGTATGTAGACTGCACATGCTCTGTTGTGACCTCCCAGGGTGAAATGAGGACTAGTGGTCTGGGGTCGCAGAAGAGGTAGGTTTGAATCTAATAACAGCAAATCAAGCCTGGGCAACACAGGAAGACTCTGTCTCTACCAAAAATTTTAAAACAAAATTAGCCAGGCATGGTGGTGCATACCTGCGGTCCTAGCTACTCAGGAGGTTGAGGTGGGAAGATTGCTTGAGCCCAGGAGTTGGAGGCTGCAGTGAACTGTGATCACACCACCACACTCCACAGAGTGAGATCCTGTCTCTCAAGAAAGTGGGGGGCAAATCAGCACTGATCAAAGACTGAGTCTTCCCAGAAAGTTAGGTCACGTGTTCCTGTCAATACAGGTGTGCAAGTAAGATAGTTATGAGGCAACAAATATCAAAAGGGCTTCAATATGAGACATCCAAGAAATAAAAAGTTGAAGAAATTTCTGATTTTCCTTCCCAGCCCTGAGCTTCTAGACTTTTAATCCATTCACTGCTGATCCATCAATTGCCTTCACCTGAAGTCCTGTGACTCTGTAGGATGGAAGGATTCATTCTGGCTAGGGGTAGGGGAAGGGGTGGAGCTACCAGCATGGGCTTAATACATTGGTGCTCAAAAAGAGTCACGATTATGACATGATGTCCTAAGTTCCCAACACTATGAAACAGTCTTAGTGTGGAGATTGCAAATGCCTTGCCTCTAGACTGAAGACGGCCCTAGGTGTCGGTACTCTTAAAAAAAACCATAAGGTTAACATTTTAAAATTGAAAATTTTCAAACAAAAATTTAGATTTCTGGATTTTTTTAAAGTTATACTTCCTTTAAATATGAGGAAGGCCCTTTAAATATTGAGGAAGGCCCTTACTACCATAACTCACCATTCTGAATCCGTAAAAGTAAACTTGCTATATAAACATAAAAAAATTTATCCATTCACAGATAACACCATTAGCAAAATAAATGTCTAATGACAACTGTGGGGAAAATATTCAACTCATATGACAGCAAAAAGTTAATAATATGAAATGAGCTTGTAGAAACCAAGAATAAAAGGGTGCAACTCATTATAAAACTGGGCAAAGTATATGAACAGATAGTTCACAAAAAAGTGAACTCAGATGGCCATTAAACATAAAAAAATTATCACCTCCCTCATAATAAGAGTAAAGCAACTGAAAATTTTACTGAAATAACATTTTTGCACCTATGTTGTTAGTGAAATACAAAAGATTTTTTTTTTCTTTCAGAAAAATAGTTTAATTATCACAAGGCCTCTTAGTGGAAGGATGGGAGATATTTCTCAAATCTGCCCCCTTGAGAGCTCAGAGACTAGGGTTATCAAAAGACAATTTGGTGGGCAGGGGGCTAAGGAATGGGTGCTACTGATTGGTTGGGAATGAAATTATAGAGATGTGAGAAATGTCTTCAAGTGCTGAGTCTGTTTCTGGGTAAGGCAGTCACAGGACAGGTAAAGTCAGTTCCTTGCTATAAAGTCATGGGTCTAGGTAGTGTCACTACATTTTCCAGAATGCAAATGTCTGAAAAATATCTCAAAGGCCAGTCTTAGATTTTACAATAGTGATGTTATCTACAGGAGCCATTGGTGAAGTTACAAAGTATGACTTCTGGTTACATGACTCCTAAGCAGTAAGCAAGCTAGGGAACAACAGCTGGTTACTGCTTGACTATGCTTATAGCTTAGCAGAATTGAGGTCCCTATCATCTGCCATAATTCTAATGCCGTGGAATTGCATTAATTTCACAAAGGGGTTTAGGTCCCCGAACAAGAAGGGAGTTGGTTTCAGGAAGAGACTATTGTCATCGTTGCTTTAAAGTTAAATTATAAACTAAATTCCTCCCATAGTTAGTTTGGTCTATGCCCAGGAATGAGCAAGAACAAAATACAAAGGTTTAACAACTCTATTGGCAAGGCTGTGAAGAAACAGACACTCTCATGTGTTACCACAAGGTGGTATAACTCTGATGGAGCCAAATTTTGAAATATCTAATAAAATTGCCAACATGTTTTCTCTTTCATTTTGCATCATTACTCTCAAACTGTGATCTGAGAACCCCTGAGGATCCATGAGACTCTTTCAGGGGATATGCGAAGAGTCTATTTTACAATAAAACAGAGAAAATAGAACCCTTGTGCATCATGATGGGTATGTAAAATATTACAGCTATTATGGAAAGCAATATGACATTTTCTCAAAAAATTAAAAAATAGGATTACCATTCAGCAAATCCAACTCTGGGCATACACCAAAAAAACCTTAAAATCAGGGTCTCCGAGAAATATGTGTACACTCATGTTCACAGTAGCTTTATTCACAGTAGTTGAAAGGTTAAACGGCCCAAATACTTACTAACAAATAGACAAAAAATCTCTTTAAAATATATTATTGTATTTTTCAATGTGAGAAGGACACGAGAATTGGAAGGGCAGGAGCAAAGTGATATAGTTTGGATATTTGTTTTCTCCAAATCTCATGTTGAAATGTAATCCACAGAGTTGGAGGTAGGGCCTGGTGGAAGGCATATGGATCATAGGGGCAGGTCCAACACCAATGACTTAGCACCATCCCCTTGGCTATGCATGAGTTCATGAGGGATCTTGTTGTTTAAACAAACGTGGTACTTCCCTATGCTCTCTCTCTCTTGCTCCTGATCTTGCCATGTGATGCACCTGCTCCCCGTTCACCTTGTTCCATGATTGTAATCTTCCTGAGGCCCTCACCAGAAGCAGATGTCAGCACCATGCTTCCTGTACACCCTGCATAACTGTGAGCCAATTAAACTTTTTTCTTTATAAATTACCCAGTGTCAGATATTCCTTTATAGCAATGCAAGAACAGCCTAATACAATACCTTATATAAATGAAATCATACAGTATTTGTTCTTTTGTATCTGACTTATTTCCCTTAGCATGTCTTCAAGGTTTATCCATGTTGTAACATAAGTCATAATTTCCTTCATTTTTAAGGTTGAAATAATATTCCATTGTTACGTATATTCAAAATTATTTATCTATTCATCAAACATTCAGGTCAAATCTTGAATGCTTTGTTTCTTAAAAAACTCTTCTGTCAGATTTCCTAAGTCATTACTCTTAAGTTATAACTTCCACAGATCACTAGGCTATGAATACAATGCGGACAAGTTCTTTGCTAAAGTATAGGAAGGGGGACCTTTGCTTCAGTTCCCTAAAAGTTTCTTATTTCCATCTGAAATCCGGTCAGCCTGGATTTCACTGTCCATAATTCTATCAGCATTTTGGTCACAACTATTTAACTGGTGTCTAAGATGTTCCAAACTTTTCCTCATCTTTCTGTCTTCTAAGCCCTCCAAACTCTTCAATTTCTTCCCATGACCAGTTCCAGAGTTACTTCTACATCATCAGGTATCTTTATAGCAATATCCCACTTCTGGTACCAGTTTTCTGTATCAGGCTGTTCTTGTGTTGCTGTAAAGGACTACCTGAGACTAGGTAATTTATAAAGAAAAGAAGTTTAATTGGCCCAAGTTCTGCACAGTGTACAGGAAGCATGGTGCTGGCATCTGCTTCTGATGAGGGCCTCAAGAAATTTACAATCATAGTGGAAGATGAAGAAAGAGCAGGCACAACAAAGGGCAAGACCAGGAGCAAGACAGAGAGTGAGAAGGTGCCACTCACTTTTAAACAACCAGGTCTTATGTAAACTCATTTATCACCAAGGGGTTGGTGCTAAGCCATTCATGAGGGACCTGTCCCCATGATCCAATCACCTCCCACCAAGCCCCACCTCTGACATTGGGGATTGCATTTCAACATGAGACTTGGAGAGGACAAATATTCAAACAATATCATGTATCTAGAATAGTCAGATTCATAGAGACAGAAAGTAGAATGGTGTTTATCAGGGCCTAAGGGGAGAGAGGATGAGGGGTGATTGTGTAATGGGGACAGAGTTTTCACTTTGGATGATGAAAAAGTTCTGGAGATGGATGGTGGTGATTGTTGCATAACAATGAGAATGTACTTAATGCCACTGAACCATACACTTAAAAATAGTTAAAATTGGAAATGTTATGTTATATGTATTTTTACCACAAAATTAAAAAAAATAAGTAAATAGAGATATAAATAAACCTAAAGCGATATTTGCCTTTTTATTCTAATTCTTTCATGAGTATTCAATAGCATTTTCCAGAAGGTACATGTTGGTACTCACAACAGAGTGAATGCAGAAGCAGATGAGAGGATCCAATGTTATTCTCCTAAAACATTAAAGGAAATTGCAGAATAAATAGATGCAATAAATAAATAAAATAATGCCACTTTCCTCATTATTTTTTCATTTTGAAAAGTATACTTTATCATTATAAAAAATTATGCATGCTAACATATAATGGGTTTATTACTATTATTTCTGAAAGCATGCATTTATAAAAATTCTGTTTAATATCTACTATGGTAGATATTGATAGATATAACTCACATAAATAACAACTCTTCAGGGTTTTCAATACTTTTTAAGACTGTATGGAGGTGCTGAGATAAAAAAACTTACTAAGCACCAACTTGGCAATCCCAAGACTTGGAATTTATCCTACCTACTTGTGTACCAGTGCCCCCTAATCAACAGGGCTTCTCTTTCTTCAGGCTGGCAAGCGACCCCCGAGCCCAGCCCTGTGGTGGGTGAATGGGAAGGGGAAGGAACTGATATGGAATTTCAGAGAATTGAATGAAATCAGCCAACAGGCAGCCAACGTCCTCTCGGAAGCCTGTGGCTTGCAGCGTGGGGACCGTGTGGCAGTGGTGCTGCCCCGAGTGCCTGAGTGGTGGCTGCTGATCTTGGGCTGCATTCGAGCAGGTTGGTAACTGACTACCTTGACAGAGAACTGTCTTCCTTGTGAAGAAAACTGATAGCAGAGAAATGCAGCCACCTCTTCCAAAAGAAGTCCCCTCCTTGGAGCATGCTGTCCTCTCTCATATGAAGAAAGGCATCTCCCTTCTTCCACTTATTTAAGCAAACTATGTGCCAAGCACTTATGCAGAGTGAACAACTACAACGACATAATTTACATATTCATGGGACTTACAGACCTTTGGAGAAAGCTCTTGAACTATTAATTGCACATATAAGTATTTAATCAGAATTATGATAAGTGGCATGAGAATTCTATTAAAATCTATTAAAACAAATTTGGCAGACTGTGACCTGCAGGCCAAATCCTGCCCACAGCTTGTTTTTGTAAATGAAGTTTTATTGTAACACAGCTATGCCCACTTGTTTCCATATTATATGTGGCTGCATTTGCACTATAGTGGCAACTTGAGTAGTTGGAACAAGAGAGTGTCTGATCCATAAAACCTAAAATATTTACTAATTGGCCCTTTGCAGGAAAAGTTTGCCAATGCTGGTCTAAAAGAAGACTTGAATTAACCAATATGAGGAGTAACAAAGTCTCCATGGAAGTGATATTTGAGCTGAGATCTGCAGGATGAGTAGGATTTTGCCAAGAGATAGAGAGGGTTGTGCCAAGCAAAGGGAACAGCATATGTGAAGATGTAATCATCTGATGATTTCTGCCCAGAAAAGCCAAACACTGAAAACAGTAGGAGTTGCAGTAGAGAAGAGTTTAATAATTGCATAGACAGCCAAACTGAAGGATGGAGGATGTTTCTCAAATCCACCTCCCCAGGAAATCAGAGACCAGAGTTTTTCAGGGATGCTTTGGCATGCAGGAGGCTAGGGAATAGGAAATGCTGATATGTTTGGCTGGGGATGAAAACATGGGTTCAAGCTGTCTTCTTGTACTGAGTCAACTCCTCAGAGATCACAGAACTGGTTGAGTTAGTTTCTTGGTATCAGTTACTGGTCTGGGTAGTGCAAGCTGGTCCATCAGAATGCAAGGTCTGAAGAACACCTCAAACATCAGTCTTAGGTTTTACCATAGTGATGTAATCTACAGGAGAAATTGGGGAGGTTACAAATCTTGTGACCTCTGGCTCCATGACTCCTGAACTATAATTCTAGCCTTGTGACCAATTTGTTATTTTTCCAAAGGCAGTTTCAGTCTCCAAGCATGGAGGTAGTTAGTTTCAGGAAGGAGCTATTATCATTTTTATTTTAAAGTTAGACTATAAGCTGGATTCCTCCCATAGTTAGCTTGGACTATGTCCAGGAATGAGCAAAGACAGATAGCTTATGAGGTTGGAAACAAGATGAAGTCAGCTATGTCAGATTTCCCTCAGTGTCATAATTTTTGCAAAGGCATTTTCAAAGTCACAGGGGAGGGAAGCTTGGAAATTACAAAAGAGCCTAAAAGGACATCTGTGTGCCTAAAGTCCAGGCCATAAAAAGAAAGTAGTGGCAATAGAATGAACATGTAAAGGTGGCCAGGTGCTAAATTGGCAGTGCCTTGTGGGCCATGGTAAGAGTTGTAGACATTTATCCAGTGGTGAATGGAAAATGATTGATGGATTGAGTAACACTCAACCATTGATGCATTGAGTGACATGATCATCCTCTGGATGGTCATACTGGATGCTCAATAGGGAATGGGATGAAGAAGGCAATAGTGGGATTGGAAATCTCCAATAAGAGGTGAAGGAATGGTGATGGCTTCAATTTGGTTGAGGTAGTAGAGATGGAGATAAGTGGATTTAACAGGCAATTGAGGGGAACGAATAACAGCATTTTTCAAGGAAGACGTGAGGGAGAGAGAGAGAAGCCACAGACATTTCAGCAAGTGGGTGGATGGTGCTGTTTTTCACTGGAGTGAAGAACACAGATATAGAAAGAGATATGGATGTGTTAGGAAAAGATGACAAGTTTAATTTGGGCATGTTGAGTCCGGGATGTCCATGTGATGTTCCAGAAGTGATGACAAGTTGAATTTAAGGGTCTAAAATCTGAGGTGGAGGCAGAAATTTGAGAATCATCAACTTTTACATTATAAGGATGAGAAGTACAGTGGTATAAAAAAGAACCTCAAGAAACTCCAGCAACCTCCTTCACAAACTGCCCTTTCCACCTCTGTTTGCACACAGCCTAACCCCAACTGAAAATTCCCAACCACCCCATGTTCTGGGGACAATGGGCTGAGCATGAGAGTGGGTAAAGAGAAAGACATAAATGCAGCCAGGAATTAGAAACTATCAGAGGCAACCAAACCAATTGCAGGAACTTGGAAGCCCATGGAAAGAGAGAACAAGTCAGAAAGAAAGGTGACATACTGAAATTATAGCCAGACGGAAAGGAGAACCCAGAGGAAAAGTTGTGTCTATTGTTCTGTGTCTGACTCAATATGACCACCATGGTAGAGAAACATTCGAGGATATTTACAGGTGTGCAGTGAGAATCCCAAAGTGTTGACAGTGGGAAGAAAGTGAGCTAAGATTAAAAGCTATTTAACAGGAGGGGCATGTGGTTTAAGCTTCATAAAAAATGAAACCTGTGTAGTTTTTCTTTTTTTTTCTTTTCTTTTCTTTCTTCCTTTCTTTCTTTTTCTTTCTTTCTTTCTTTTTTTTTTTTTGATGGAGTCTCCCTCTGTAGTCCAGCCTGGAGTGCAGTGGTGCGATTTTGGCTCACTGCAACCTTTGCCTCCCAGGTTCAAGCAATCCTCCTGCCTCAGCCTCCAGAGTAGCTGGGATTACAGGCATGTGCCACCAAGCCCAGACAATTTTTGTATTTTTTGTAAAGCTGGGGTTTCGCCACGTTGGCCAGGCTGATCTTGAATTCTTGACCTCTAATAATTCGCCTTCCTTGGCCTCCCAAAGTGCTAGGATTACAGGCATGAGCCACCATGCCTGGCCCTAAGTCTAGTTATTCTACAGAAGATTTTAAAACTCAAAGGAGTCTCATTAAGATAGTAACGAAGAACAAGAATTTAGGAAGGTGATAATCATGGGGTATAAAACCTCAGTTATGTGCAAGGAATAAGCCTAATTTTTAAAGATAAATTGTACAGCATGCTAAATATAGCTAATAATTGAGTACTGTAAATTTCAGTATCATTAAGAGCAAAAATTTCTAATGTTCTCATCACAAAAAAATGTTAAATACTTGAGGTGATGGAAATGTTAATTTGCTTAATTTAATCATCTCACATTGTCTTCAAAAATTATAATACCACTTTGTACCCAATAAATATATACAACTATACTTTGTGTGTGCATGTATATGTAAAACTGAAGGCACTCTCATCTAAGAAAAATGCGTTTAGTGTCCCAGGGTTGAAAGAAATAGCCAGGACCTAGAGCTATTGGTGTTTCAAGACCATGGATAATTCCAAGTGCCTTTCTTCATGATTCTTTAGTTATCATATAAGAGTTTTGAATACAGCAAACTCCTGTAGAAATTGTTTTTTTGAGGGGTGAGAATGGGTGAGGAGAATTGTATGTGTCTTAGACTGTCAACAGTGTGACATTAGCAATTCAATTTCTTTTCTTTGTCTCAGTAGGGCCCTTAAGACTCTGACAACCCAGGGAATCCTAGGTTAAATTCACTCCCTATTCCGTAGTCCTCTTTTTTGTTGACAGTCTCCATTGGTCATTACTTCCCCATTCTCTCCTTCCACACTTTCTCCCTGCTTGATGTTTATATCAGGCTTCTCTACAGACAAAGAAAACCACCCTTTCCAATTCTCTAAACTGTTGACTTCTTTAGGTCTCGTCTTTATGCCTGGAACCATCCAGATGAAATCCACCGACATACTGTATAGGTTGCAGATGTCTAAGGCCAAGGCTATCGTTGCTGGGGATGAAGTCATCCAAGAAGTGGACACAGTGGCATCTAAATGCCCTTCTCTGAGAATTAAGTTACTGGTGTCTGAGAAAAGCTGGGATGGGTGGCTGAACTTCAAGAAACTATTAAAGTGAGTATCTACATGTCTCAGCCTGGGTTTTAACTAAAACTGGAAACGGAGCCAAGCACTTAGGTGCAGGTGCTTTATTGAGGAGGTGCAGGAAGCAGAGCATAGGACTAGGAAGAGTGAAGCTGGGAAGAAATAAAAGCTAATGCAAGGGTTTTTTTTTTTTTCCAAGTCATTGCAAGGACTAAATGGGGCTTGATCTACCTGGACCTTCTGAGCAGCACATATAATGCCTCCTAGGATTGTCCTCTAAAGGATTGAAAAGCACTGACCCATCAGCATCTGACCCCCACAGGTTGAGGGTTGCCCTGGGGGTGTTATTGCCTCCACACGCTGGGCTGCACACTCATGCATAAAGAGTGGCTCAGAGTTCCATGCTATGGTAAAACAGAGAAACTGTGGGGCACAAAGTGAATCACTTGTGGTGCACACTGGAAACAACATGGTATTAACACCAAGTGGATTGAAACCCACCCAGAACTATTCACTGGAACTATGACTCAAATCAGGGGTGAGGCCAAGGTCATGAGGGAAAACCCAAGAGATGGCTGATACATTGAGTTTCTAGACTCTTCTTCCCACCTTCCGTATCTCTAAGAGAGGTTGATGAAGGGCAGAGTCTCTCCATGTGTCCTTCCAAAAGTTGATAGCATAATTGGCTGGATTAATGATTTTCTCTGTCACATGTCTGAAATCTGAAATCCCTCTATTAGGGTCACATATGATTGGAAACTTGAAGAGATAACTTCAGCTTTTCCTTTCTAATGCCATAGTCTTTAAGGTAGATGTCATAGAAATAAATAACATGATGCCTGCTTTTTCTTTTTAAATGGACTCTCACTCCGTTGCCCAGGCTAGAGTGCAGTAGCACGATCTCAGCTCACTGCAAGCTACGCCTCCCGGGTTCATGCCATTCTCCTGCCTCAGTCTCCTGAGTAGCTGGGACTACAGGCGCCCACCACCATGCCCGGCTAATTTTTTGTATTTTTAGTAGAGATGGGGTTTCACCATGTTAGCCAGGATGGTCTCGATCTCCTGACCTCGTGATCTGCCTGTCTCGGCCTCCCAAAGTGCTAGGATTACAGGCATTAGCCTCCATGCCCAGCCAATGCCTGCTTTCAAAGGCTCAAAATCAGGACACTGGAGATGTCCAAGAGATGTGTAGGTGCTTCCAGGGAATAGAAGAGAGTGCCAAGAAAGTACTTGGAAAACTCATATTAATTCCACACCTCCGTCCACTTGGTGTCATGCCAGGGCTCTTCACAATAATTAGATTAGCATTTATTGAGTTCTTGCTAAGCAAGTTGCTCATTTCTTTGGTGGTAGAGTTAACTTTCTCAGTAACTCTGTTAGACTTGATCTCACTTTTTGCAGATATAAAGTGAGACACAGGGAAGTTAAATAACTAGTTTAGGGTTGCATGGATAACAAAGTGCCAAACTTGAGTGGTTTTCAAACCCAACTCTGATTGACTCAGACTCCCATGATATTAATCACTCAGCAGCCTCTCTTCTGAGGTGGTTCGATCAACTTGCCTTTTTCAGCACAGTGGGTGGTGGGAAAAGATGGGTCACTGTGATATCTGGTGTCCAGGCTAGATCTGAGAAAACGACAATCTCTGTCTCTGTCAGCGAGGCATCCACCACTCATCGATGTGTGGAGACTGGAAGCCATGAAACAGTTGCCATCTACTTCACTAGTGGGACCAGTGGGCTTCCCAAGATGGCAGAACATTCCCACTCAAGCCTGGGTCTCAAGGCCAAGATGGATGCTGGGTAAGCTGAGCTCTCTCTCTCTACAGAGAATTGTATGACGAGGCATGAAGACTTTTCTGAGTTCAAATCCAGTGCTCCTAGGCTGGGCTACCACCTTGTGGTTCTGAGAAAGAAAATTCAGAAGGAAAGCTAAAGAGGACATGGCTTCACGTGCTGGGTATCCAGTGATCTCCAATGGGACACATCTTTTAGATAACACAGGGTCTCAAAACTTCTTCCACGTGTTGAGCCAAATGCCTAGCAGGGTGAATAATTAGCAAAAAGCTTACATGCATTTCCCCAGACTGATCTCTATGTTGTTGTTTGGGGTGCTGGCAATTTGCTTTGATACTGTCCACGTTCCAAGAGGGCAGTTTTTGTCAGCGGCAAATTACTTTGCAAATTCATTGAAGTGGAAGATATAATTGGATAAATTTGCGAACAAAGATCTCAGGATTTCTGGGTCACAGACCTCATAGTTGGGCATTTTTTTTTTCCACTGCTACATTAATCCCATTTGTGGAATCATGAAACACTGTACCAAGGTCTTCACACAATGATATTTATAAATCATCAGAATTTTTTTAGTAGACCCCTCCTTCCATGTTAATTTTATTATTAGAATGGGAAAATATAATAATGCAAAAAATGGAAAGTGTAAATGTTCCGTCTATGAGACCATAGTGACAGCAAATTAAATAAGTTAATAAAAATTATACAATAGAAGAGCTGCAGTAAAACGCAGTTTCTAAAAGATAGGGGATAAATTACTTAAATGTAACTAAAATATGAAATTCCCCTTCCCCAAAAAAATTTGGTAGTGATCTCATTTTTCACAGATATAAAGTGAGACTTAGAGAAGTCTTGTATTAGGTCATAGTACAATGACCTAATTTCCCTGAAGAGCCGAAAGCATTAATCATCTTCAGGAAAGAAGATACACTATGGCAGTCCCCAGTCACAAGGAAGTTGTTCATGTCTAGCCTAAATCATTCTTGCTTTAAGAAAGGTCTAAACCTTTTATTCTGCCCTGAAGAGAGAAAACTGATAAGTTTACTTAGTGCAAGACCATCAGCTGTACGGGCAATTTGCAGTACTTGAAGAAAAGAGAAGCAAAGTTCTATTCAGCCAAACTTGAACTTGGCAAGGCATCTGTTAGAATATTTGTCATGCAGATGCCTTGTGTTAGTAGAATTTTCCTGGGTGGTTACCACATGCATGCCACAAATGGTACTAAGTTTTAGAGGTAAAATGAGAATGAGACCCAATTATATATTAAGTCATGTCAACTGGGGTCCCACCTTCTGAACATTCATCTCCTGTTGATGCAGGATGTGTGGATAGAACAAGTTTTCTTCCCCCTTCCTACTTATACTTAGACATATGCCTATAAACCTGCAGGCAGATACACACAGACCTCTGCGCACACACCTCTCTTTCCTCCCCTACACCTTAGTGTCCCACACATCCTAAGGTCAGCATGCACCCACCTATCTGTACATGTGTTTTGTCTGTGTTTTCAGTTGGACAGGCCTGCAAGGCTCTGATATAATGTGGACCATAGCAGACACAGGTTGGATACTGAACATTATAACCTCACTTTTGGAAACTTGGACAGTAGGAGCATGCACATTTGTTCATCTCTTGCCAACATTTGACCCACTGATTATTCTAAAGGTAAGAGAGGATCCTGTTTGCACCAGTTATTCAGAGTGAGCCCGAGGTTTGCACACTTCAATTTATTGTAGTTTGCTTCAACTTATTTAATTTTTGCTAAACCCCTGCCATGTGGTGAACAGTGTTCAGTAAGCAAGATGGAAATGATCCCTGACCTCATGGAGCTCATGTTCTGGGGAAGGAGACAGACACATACATAGAAGAAAGCAGTATGTTCAGGAGAAAGACATTGTAGGTCATTTGTTCACTCAACAACCACAATGGGCTCGTCCACTGGTGTCACCTATCAGATAGATGCTGATGAACCACATGTAAAAGGGAAAGCTGGAATATTGGAGGGGAAGCCATCTCCCTCGTGTGTGTGTGTGTGTGTGTGTGTGTGAGAGAGAGAGAGAGAGAGAGAGAGAGAGAGAGTGCACGTTTCATTTCCTTTTTTATTTGCAGCATAAAACACAAACTGAAGATAGAGTACATAGAGTGCCACCATCCTAAGTGTACAGTTTGAAAATAATTTACCTATGTTAAGATACTGTCTCAGTCAGCTTGGGCTACTATAATAAAATACCATAGTCTAGGTTGCTTAAATAACAGACATTTACTTATTATAGCTCTGGAGGCTGTAAGTCTGAGATCAGGATGCCAGCATAATTGGATTCCTGGGGAGCCCCTCTTTCTGGCTTGCTATGGCTGCCTTATTGCTGTATTCTCACATGGTTGAGAAAGACAGTGCTGGTATCTCTTCCTTTTTAAAAATAAAGACATTCATGCTCTCATTGGGGCACCTGTTTCACTACCTTGTATAATTACCCCTAAAAGCCCCGCCTCCAAATACCATCAAGTTGAGAGTTAGAGCTTTAATATAGGGATTTAAGTGGGGATACAGCATCCAATTCATATCAGACACCCATGTAAACACCACTAGATCAAGACATGAAATATTCCCACCACTGCAGGTGTTCATACTCCTTCTCTGACAGTGTCTACACCCCATAACTTAATCATTCGTTTGATCTCTATCACCATAGATTAATTTTATCTCTTCTTGCATTTCATGTAAATGGAACCACATTATATATAATCTTTTGCATTTGGCTTCTTTTACTCAAAATATTCTCTGTGAGGTTAGTCCATGTGTTGCGTGTATCAGATGTTTGTTCTTTAACTGACTGCATAGTATTCCATTCTGTGAATCTATCAAAATTTTCCCCCATCCTATTGTTAATGAACATTGGGTTATTTCCAATTTAAGATGATTTTCTAGAAACAACTCAGAAGAATAAATGGAATTTTTTCCTATAGAACTTGATGGTACAGCCATTAGGTAAGACCCACAAACTGCAGCTATGCATTATCCTGTAGCAACAAAGCAATAAAAATGACCTCATTTTGCTTACAAAGATACACCCTATGTTGGACTCTTTGATAGAGGGGTTGGGTTATTTCCCTGCCATGCCCCCAGATCTCTGATGGCCCATCCAGACATCTATTTGGCTGCAACAAAGATTCAAGCTAAGGCATAGATGACATCTTCAAAAGTCAAAAAGTCAGGTGTGGTCTGAATTTTCTTAGAAAATTATCTTCAAATGATACTGTCATTCTCTGTTTTAAACAAATTCTTACTCTGTGTCCTTCCCAAAAGGATTTGAACTGGCTCTTATTAAGTTCCACCATTTAAAAAAAAATGAAAACAGAAGCAAAATTATAAAGTCCATTAGGAAAATATAAGTTGGAGGTGCAGTGGGGGAAAGACTAAGGAAATTAAGGAGAAATATAGCAAATGAGTATAGTTGCAAGTTGTAGTTGCAAGTTGAACTTCTAGTAAGGCAAAGCAATAAGGAATATGGTGTCATTTTCGTAGCTTATATCTGTTTACCAAGAGCATCTGAAGGAAATGATTGCATGATATTCACATTTGTCATTTTTTCTAGATATTTTGCTTAAACCATTGCCATGGTTTGAATATTTGTGCCCTCCAAAACTCATGATGAAACTTGTAAACCAAAAATAAAATCCTAAGGCCCCGCCACCCCCAACCATCTGAATGACCTTCCTCCTCAGCCAGGGTTCTTTTAAAAATTTAACCTAAGAGACTGTTTCAGGCCATGACAGGAAGTGAGAGTGGGACATGCCTCATTATACCTCTCTGGTATTAACATCAATACAGACTTTAAGTCTGATTTAAAAAAAAAAAAAAAACCCATTTTACAACCTATTCTCTCTAACGCCTAGTGCCAGTACCTAAAAGCTTCCTCTGCAAATAAGAACTTGGGTCTCCATAATTCTTTATTTTAACCAAGGCATTTCTTTCTATTGATCCCAGGTCTTTAGATAAAGTCAACCAATTGTCAATCAGAAAAAATTTAAATCTACCTATAAGCTGGAAGACCCCGCTTCAAGTTGTCCCACCCTTCTGGGCCAAACCAATGTATTTTTTAAATGTGCTTGATTGAAGTCTCATGTCTCCCTAAAATGTATAAAACCAAGGTGCACCCTGACCACCTTGGGCACGTGTTCTCAGGACCTCCTGAGGACTGTGTCATGGCCATGGTCATTCATATTTGGCTCAGAATAAATCTCTTCAAATATTTTACAGAGTTTGGCTCCTTTCATCAACAAACTCAATCCCCAGTGGCACAGTATTAAGAGGTGGGGCCTTTAAGAGATGATTGTGTCTCATGAGGGATTAATGGATTAATGGGTTATCAAGTTAGTGGGTTAGTTTTGAAGAGTAGGTCTGTTATATAAAAAGCCAGTTTTGCTCTGTCTCATGAGCCCCTTTGCCATATGATGCCCTGAGTCCCCATCAGCAAGAAGGCTCTCACCAGATGCAGCTTCTTGACCTTGGACTCTCCAGCCCCTAGAATTGCAAGAAATAAATTTCTTTTCTTCATAAATTACTCAGTCTTGGGTACTCAGTTACAGCAACAGAAAACAGACTAAGACAATACT